AATCAATTATATATATATATATATATATATATATATATATATATATATATATATATATACTCCCCCAGTAACACGACTCGGAGTTTCATGCATAACGCATTTTTCAGGTACTGTGTAAAGACTGACCGTGACATAATTTAAATTTTAATAATATTAACGCAATACTGGAACAGTCCTTATATTATACAGTGATTACATCTATTTATTTTAAAAATATATATATATTGCGTTTAAAATAGACGGGATTCTTATTTGATATTTAAAATATATTAATCCTCATTTATATTCTAGCTGAAGACCGGGTTTCTTGGAGAGCTGTTATTGCTGATGGCGTCAAGATCTCCCATGAGGCAGCACAAAAATATGCAAAAGTGAAAAGAGGTGTTCGGAAGGGAACCATGAATTGCTATGAGGTGCCAACCTGGCCATGTGCCCGATGCAATAGAATATGCCTGTTGTGGGTAGGTCTTCCCAGTCACCAGAATTCACATCAACAACCAACAGTCTATTGCATATGACAATTTCGTAATGGCATGCTTTGAATGCCTGACCTGCACTAGAGTATGCAAGTCCAGGTCGGGCCTGACAAGGCATATAAAAAAAAAAACACATTGGAAGTGATGATGATCAAATTCAACTTCCACCACCCGAAGATGATTTGATATGCCACATATGTAACAAGAAATGCAGATCGACGGCTGGCTTTATGAGCCACTGTCGTTCACACAAACAATGAGTGTAGTGTTATGGGGAGGGGATTAACTGATGGACGGTGATGGTCATACTAGCTTTGTGAGTCGACAGCCACCATATATATATATTTTTTTTTTCTATCAAACATTGTAATCTATCTTTTACATAATTTTGTTAAAACAAAATTACAACTTCTTTCGATTCACTTCCGTCTCCCCACTCCCTCTTTACCATAAAAATCTTTTGAATATGTCTGTCTGGTTTCCCTTTTTCTCTCTTTCGACTTACTTTCCGCTCGCCCTCTCTCTTTGCCATAAATTTTTTTTTTTTTTTTTAAAATACGTCTGCTTTTTTTCCCCTTTTTTTTTCTCTCTCTTTTTCCTTTTACTTTATTTCCTTTCCTCACTATTCCTATATATCACTTCCTTTTTCTTTTACCACATAAATAGGTCAAGGTTAGGTCACTCCTCCTACCCCAATTTAAGGCTTATTTAAGAGAGATGTAAATTTAACCCTCACTATATTTTTGTATTGTCTCTTTAACCGCCACCTTCACCCTCCCTGTTTAATTACATAAATTACACTACCCATCAATTTCTAATCAAATTTTTCATCTCATTTCATTGCTGGAAGTGTTACCTGATGATCCAAAATCCTTTAAAAAGGATTTTGGTGAAATAAATTATTGTTATGGTACCTTAAAGTGTCTGTTGTTCATTAAATATATATATTAAAGACATTTTTTATGTTTAACGTTGTTATTTATAGATACAAGTATTTAAGCAAATGTTCTGTTTATGATAAACAGTATTAAATAACATTTACCGGCCTGAATGTCCGAGAAATTTTCATAGAAAATATTCGTTCTTTGACAGGATTCGAACCTGCATCCTATACGGAACCGTCATTTACGCTGACGTGCCTTACCTCTGGGCCACAAAGAACCTTTTCGGTAGACAAGGTCGAATTTACTGCTTATAAACTTCGCTTGAAGATGGAACGGAGCCCATTTTACTTTCAACTCAATTTAATTTAAAGGATTATATTGAAGTTTTCGGCTCTTGTTTTGAAACATGAGACCTCTTATGTAGCGATTTGGAATCATACTTTTAAATAAATAATTATATTTATGCTCTACTTTTGTATCGAGCACTATTTTTAAAAAATAATAACTAAAATACTAAGGGACTTTGGATGATTTACCTAACCAGTTCCTTCCTATTTTCTATATTTTTCACACACACACACACACACACACACACACACACACACACACACATACATATATATATATATATATATATATATATATATATATATATATATATATATATATATATACACATGTAAATTCAATAAGTAATATAAAGTGAAGGATACAAATTACCTTTTGTAATGCATTCGCAAATGTCGACCATTCAATCGTGCCTGTATTCAATTGGTCCAGCGAACTAAGGATTTCGAAAAGGTCTTCGTCATTCTTCAACAAATACTCATCCAAAACATGGAGTCCCACAGTCTCCTGGGACACAAACTTATCCCCTGGCTGAGAAATATTCACAAGGTAGTTATACGCATCTCGGCAGGTGTCGTTTGGTGTCCCGCTAAAAAACGATTCTTTCAGTCCCTGCGCAAGACCTTTTCTCAGATATTTCTCTTCTATGATGTTCCTCTCCGGCTTATTCCTCAGCCAGTGCACGACGTCGCCAATTTTGTCAAGTGTTTTACGAAATGACACCCGCTCAGCAAGGGTGTTGCGCGGATATTTGTTCCTCAGGTCGTTCATCTCGTCGTGTAGTGATTTCAAGTTCGCAATTAGATCGTCTTCCGAGCGTTTGACGTGACCTCGAGTCTGCTGGTACGTCTCAAGGAGATCGGGCGTGAATCTACTGACTGTGACCCTCCTGCGTACGGGACTCCCTGTAGTGCATCTGATTACCGCTTTGTAGAATTTATGCTTTCGCAATCGCTTAAGTACTAGATCTTCAGGGGGTTCTTTAGCGACGGGCGGAGGAGCGTCCAGTTCACAAGTTTTCATCGTTCGACTAATGAAATCGCCGAAATCCTCCATTTTATAAACTGTGTTTTCTTATTCCTGCAAAAGAAAAGACATGGATTTTATTTTTTTGTCCACCAGCGCGCCCTCCCCAAAATGGCATACAAGATTATTATACATTCCGGCCTCATTAATATGGCACACCTGGAACGAGGCCATTACCGGACTACAAAAAGTGTCGGATGACAGAAATGACACCTAAAAAAACATATGTAAACATAGATATGCTAGCTCATTCCACATATATATTGTTGTTTTATCAAAGGTCGAAAGCTAAAAACAGAAAATAAAACACTAATTAATGCTTCCAAACAAGGCTTTTATTGTTTCAAGCAATAAAAAAGACTAAAAATAAGCCTAAAACGAAGTCATGCATAGTGAATGATCCGATGACATCGTCAGTCAGTTATGTGTCATGCGTGATACACACTTAGATGATCATGTATCTTTCGATACCTGACTGACGAAGCTGATTTTTTTCCCGCAGTAGTTTACCATTTCTTTCTGCGGTAGACCAGTTGCCATCCAAAAATACAGAACCCGTTCTGTCCTGCTATTGACCCATAGATGTTGAGGGGGGAGAAGAAGTGTATACATACTTCCCCAAGGGTATTAGCACGGAAGTGAATGTAATAGATTCAACTGGAATTCGAACTCGGCACTTCGATTCCTCAATCCTAGCTGCTATCCATTAATCCATTGAGTCATCGAATTCATACAATTTCATCAGTAACTCCACCTTTTCAAGTATAGATAATGATTCATGCATACAGACGTACATTTCTTCAGTAACTCCACCTTTTCTAATATATAGAATAGGATTTATGCTTACAGACGTACTTTTCTCCAATTCCTTCAGTAACTCCACCTTTTCAAGTATAGATAATGATTTATGCTTACAGACGTACTTTTCTCCAATTTCTTCAGTAACTCCACATTTTCAAGTAACGATAATGATTTATATTTACAGACGTACTTTTCTCCAATTTCTTCAGTAACTCCAACTTTTCAAGTTTAGATAATGAATTATGCTTACAGACGTACTTTTCTCCAATCTCTTCAGTAACTCCACCTTTTCAAGTATAGATAATGATTTATGCTTACAGACGTATTTTTTTCAATTCCTTCAGTAACTCCACATTTTCAAGTAACGATAATGATTTATATTTACAGACGTACTTTTCTCCAATTTCTTCAGTAACTCAAGTATAGATAATGATTTATATTTACAACGTTTTTTCTCCAATTTCTTCAGTAATTATGCTTTTCAAGTTTAGATAATGAATTATGCTTACAGACGTACTTTTCTCCAATCTCTTCAGTAACTCCACCTTTTCAAGTATAGATAATGATTTATGCTTACAGACGTATTTTTCTCGAATTCCTTCAGTAACTCCACCTTTTCAAGTATAGATAATGATTTATGCTTACAGACGTACTTTTCTCGAATTTCTTCAGTAACTCCACCTTTTCAAGTATAGATAATGATTTATATTTACAGACGTACTTTTCTCGAATTTCTTCAGTAACTCCACCTTTTCAAGTATAGATAATGATTTATGCTTACAGATGTGCTTTTCACCACTTTCTTCAGTAACTCCACCTTTTCAAGTATAGATAATGATTTATGCTTACAGACGTACTTTTCTCGAATTTCTTCAGTAACTCCACCTTTTCAAGTATAGATAATGATTTATATTTACAGACGTACTTTTCTCGAATTTCTTCAGTAACTCCACCTTTTCAAGTATAGATAATGATTTATGCTTACAGACGTACTTTTCTCCAATCTCTTCAGTAACTTCACCTTTTCAAGTATAGATAATGATTTATGCTTACATTACGGCCAGCGATTCTGCTCTTATGGTTTTAAACATAGAATAATATTATTCTAATTTAGTTTTATGATAATTCTTATTTCATTTTACATTTGTAAGTATTGTTAGGTACATATGACTGTATTTGACATCCTTATGGGGTCGGAAACGCCGAACGTTAGTGTCAAATTGTCGTATGTTTGTGATGAGTAGTCATTTTGCAACTGAAATCGACCTATGAAACGACAATTTTTTAAAGGATTTTTTTTGTAGCTGTGCATAATACGCAACTCTAATTTTGCTTATTATTTTTTTTTAGAAAAAACGCGTATTATATATAGGGAATTACGGCATCTTTATTTTTAAAAAGCTAGAGACACCAAGTACATGGCTTCCATGTCTAAGTTAAATCTTTGTCATTTGATATTTTAAACTGTTATACGAAATTTCTAAATCTTTAAGGATTGAAAGGACATTAGCTGTAGATGGATGGGTGACGCCATGTATACTTACTGGTGACACGTTCCGCATAAATAAATATTTCTCCGGTTTTCAGCTCAGATATGTGGGGGATAGTTGTTAGGTCAGTATTTCTCAACTGGTGTGCCCGGGCGTACTAATGTGCTGTGAAAGGTATTCAGGTGCGCCCCAAGTTGACAGAAGAGTAATTTATGAATAATTATTATATTAAAAAAAAAATCTTTATTTATTATTTATTTATTTATATTTTTGAACGTTGGCTTATCGTTAACAGAAGAAGGAGAACGTATCAGTTTATCTGCTGACCGTGTCTTAAAAAAATCAATCATAAAGAGGTGTCCATTGATCAATTTTGGGATTCCTATTCATGAAAAATATCCATCATAGCAAGGAAAGTATTGGATATTTTATTGCAATTTTCCCTCATCACACCTCTGTGAATTCAGGTTTTCTGCACTTAGCAACATTAAAAGTAAGAATAGATCAAATATTAAATGCATTGATGCGGAAATGAGAGTAGGTTTATCAGATAAAATGTCTAACATACAAGAAAAAAATACAAAAGCAGATCAAACATAAATTTCACACAAGCATAATTGATATTTTAAGCTGTTACCGTACACTTCTTAATTTTTAAGTAGTAGAAGGACATTAGTTGCAGTTTGACCTGGAGAGGGATGGGCTCCGTCAGGTCTACTTACCCAATTTCTTAATTTTTAATTAGTGGAAGGACATTAGCTGTAGTTTGACCTGGAGATGGATGGGCTTTGTCAGGGCTACTTACCTAATTTATTAATTTTTAAGTAGCTGAAGGACATTAGCTGTATTCTGACCTGGAGAGGTTTACTTACCCAAGAGCCGCTACGCATGAATGAATACTTTTTCGGTTTATATATATATGAATGAATTCTCTAATATATATATATATATATATATATATATATATATATATATATATATATATATATATATATATATATATATATATATATATATATATATATATATATATATATATATATATATATATATATATATATATATATATATATATATATATATGCTCTGATAAAAAATATTGCGACTGTTGCTAGGAATCTAGCAAACCCAACTAGAATACGAAACTTTCGAAAGCTTTATAACAGGACACATGGTACAGTGGATAAAGGCGTTGGTTAGATCCATTGACAGGACCCAAACAATATGAGTTCAATACCCGGTTAAGGCAGTGGTAAACTTGGAGAGGGGAGATAACTGACATCCATTAAACATGGCACGTGGAACAAAAACAGTCTTCTCTAGCGAGCGAAATTAAGGGTTTCAATTCGACATTCCAACCACCTGAAGAAGGCCGGAGCGTACAACGGCCGAAACGTTGGAATAAATATGGCGACAGTCCGAATAATGTAATAGTGTTTATAACAGCTATTATCCAAGGTATTCGTCAGACTTAAGAGACTATAGAATTATATTCTGCTTGATGCTTCAGGTGCGGCGTCTTTTTTAACTTACGTCACAACCTGTTCAGCTACGGTACACAGCCTGGGTAGGTAGATATGGGATGAAAGAAGTTCCTACGATTCCTACTCGCTGAAATGATTCCATCGGACGCTGTACATGTTTTTAGCGCTGTTGCAGGACTTTCTAGGACAATTACTTAACGCGGGTTTTCTCACAGAATGATGACGCAAAGCCTTTCCCATGAGCAAGCTGTCCTCCGCCTAGACTGGCTTTCAACTAACTTTGGAAAACACAGTCTGCTTTGCTATTTAAACCATAGCTTCGTTGGACGGACGGGCCCGTCCGCATTCTCGGAGTGTTGTTCGGGCCCGGATTCCAGCTGGAGAAAAATTGGTCTGAAGTACAGGCGTCGGTCCGGATTTGGCGCCGCAGGCGATTCTCCTTGAAGAGGAGGGCTGAGGCATGTGCCGCTTAGGTCTTTCCTCTCATCATTTATCAGTTGGCTGTACTTCCTCTCTGTAAGGAACGTATGAAGGCAATCGAGCGCTTGATCTCCCTTTTGTAGGGTGGCCGCAAACATCACGTCGACAGAGATGTCTCTGCCCAACGTCCGTGTCATGGGGGGCTGGGAAGTCCACATTTGGAGAGTCACTGACACACCTCCAGGTTGATTTTCCTACACCGCGCGTTGACAGAGGATTCAATCTTAACGGGGAGTGTGAGGGCCGCATTCCCTCGCCATGCCATCTGGTTTCGAGGGCTGAGTACAATCGTAGGCCCCGGGATCAGTTAGATTTCTCCTCGAGTGCCGATCGGCCTTGAGGGTAATTCTTCAGTCCAGTGACCTTTCTCGGCCTAGGCGAGGTCGTAATAGATCCGCTTTGCAGCCGGTTTGGTTTATCGGCGACCAAGGTGCACTCTTTCTAGTTATGGTCGCCAGCGGCGGATTATCATAGCAACCCTGAGTTTTCGCTTACCTGGCGACTGGTTCGG